GAGGTCCCTCAGCCTGGCCTGCACCCTCTCTCAATCCAGGACCCCTCAGGAGAGGTCCGCCTGCCAGCTTAGGCCCTGCTCATAGCGAACGGTCGTTTTGTCGTTTGGTTGACTTGCATATTAGGGTTTTATTATATAGGATTATTCTTTTTAAAAATATATATTTTATTGACTTTTTTACAGAGAGGAAGGGCAAGGGATAGAGAATTGGAAACATCAATGATAGAGAAACATTTATCAGCTTTCTCTTGCACACTCCCTATTGGGGATGTGCCCGCAACCAAGGTACATGCCCTTGACCGGAATCGAACCCGGGACACTTGAGTCCGCAGGCTGACGCTCTATCCACTGAACCAAACCAGTTAGGGCTATATATGATTATTCTTGAGACCTTGGCTGTGGAAGGCTAGGCTTACATACCTACAGCTCACCAGGAGGCCTTAGGAGAATCTGGGTCCCCCGTTGCCTTGTCAGGCCATTCTCGGGGAAGCCCTACATCGCAAAAAGCAGCTGTCTTCCCTTTTCCCCTTCTGCCCCTGCCCTCGCGAGCTCACAGAGATTCATCCTGGAAAAGGCCTGTCACACGCAGAGGCCTCTTCCCCAAGCCAGGAGCAGTCGCCTTCCTTATGCGCCAGGTTGATTCCTCCGCTGTCCCCACTTCCTCCTCCTCCAGCTCCCCAGATTCCCCTGCTGAGCTGGCACAGGACAGACCTGCAGGGGCTGCTGGCCCTTCGCAGCCGCTGCACTTGGACTGGAATCAGCAGGGTCATCAAAGGCTCTCCTCTGCCAGGCTGCCCTACCTGGCCAGCTGCTCCAGGCCTGGGTGCTGCTCCAGGCCTGGGTGCCGCTCCAGGCCTGTGTGCCACTCCAGGCCTCGGTGCAGGTACAGGTCTGAGTCACCCGCTGTGCTGGCCCCAGGCTCTGGTCTCCCTCCCAGGCCTGTTTTGCTTGTGCATGTTGCCTCCTGTTACAAAGTGGCTGCTGCAGCTCCAGCCGAGTCTCCTTTCCAGGCAGGAAGGCAGATCTCTCCCTCTCTCTCCCTCTCTCTCCCTCTCTCTCTTTCTCCCTCTTTCTCCCTCCCTCCCTTTCTTCTCCCAAAGCCCTTTTTTCTTCAAGGGTAGACCTCCTTGGGGTCTTTGTCCTAGGCCTCAACGGCCAGAAGTGGATCACATGGACAACCCTAATTGCATGGGAGGCGGATAAATGGCATTTTTAAGCACTAGGTCAGTGGTTGGCAAACTCATCAGTCAGCAGAGCCAAATATCAACAGGACAACAGATTGAAATTTCTTTGGAGAGCCACATTTTTTAAACGTAAACTTCTTCTAACGCCACTTCATCAACATAGACTCGCCCAGGCCGTGGTATTTTGTGGAAGAGCCACACTCAAGGGGCCAAAGAGCCGCATGTGGCTCTCGAGCCACAGTCTGCCAACCACTGATCTAGATTCATAAAGATCAGCGGGCCCCTCTAAGGGGCTGGTCATGTGAAGGCTTGGAGAGGGACAGGGACTGACTTGCCCTGGTCACACCGCGAGGTGGCCATCCCTCCACGGCAGAAACGCAAGTCTTCAGCTCTTTCATTGCTTCTGAGGAACGTCCGTGCCCCCTCTGTGCAGGGGGCAGGGGTGGGGTGTAATGGGCACCAGCAGCACTCACTGTGCTGAGCACCTGTCAGTGCACTGCCTGTCCCCATCAGCCTGGTCTCACAGGGGAGACAGCGCAGGCCCAGAAGCTGGGGGCAGGTGCGCTGCCGGGAATGAGCTGCCACAAGCCCCTCTCTCCGCTGAGCTGTTTTTCCAGCCTGGCCTCCCGAGAAATGGCTGGCTCCTGCAGGTGCCACTCCTGCTGTCCCTCCTCCTGCTCAGTCAGGGCCCCACTGCAGGGGCGGGGTCTCTGCCAGGTGCACCTGTTGGGAGGGTGAGCACAGGAGAAACCCGCCTTTGCCCGATCGCCCAGGAGAGGGACACAGGCCCCATCTTGCTCTCCGCTCTCTCCTGCGCCTTCACCCCGTCTCCACGCCCTTCCTGTGATCGCCCAGTTCTTGTCCCCAAATTCCATGGGGTGCAAGTAGGGTGACTGGATAAAACAGCACAACCCGGCTCAGTTTGAATTCCAGACAGACAGCAGATACATTTTCAGTGTGACTGTGTCCGTGTGTGTTTAGGACACCCTTATGCTAAAAATGACTCATGTAGCTGAAATCACAGTTTAATTGTGCATCTGGGTTCTTCGGTTTGTTTAGCTTTGCTTTGGTCTGTTTGCTAATCTGGCAAGGCTAACCGGGTGGCACCATCCCTATGTGCTGTACATGACAGCCGAGATCCAGAGAAGGGGCGGAGGGCGGGGATGGGGGGCACGGGCAGGGTCATGCTAAGGTCATAGGCAGGACTGGGTCGGTCTCGGTCTCCAGGTCTCTTGGACGCCTCTGCCATCTGTGGAAACGCAGTTGAGAGCTCGCTGGCTTCCACCTGCCCGGATCTGTTAGCGGTCCCTCAGCCCTCACTGTGAAGTAGGCGTTTGGCGGCCGTTGGGTCGGAACCGGCCCTGGCGGCACAGGCAGCTGGGGAGACATAATGGAGGAGAGTGTCTTTGTCCAGCGGTCGGCAAACTGCGGCTCTGCTGACTAAGGAGTTTGCCGACCACTGCCTTAGGGAAAGACACTTAAAAAACACTTTAATAATGTACTAATGTCTTTGACCTGAACTCAAACCAGAGCAGCACACCGAGGCTTGTGAGCCGCAGTTTGCCTACCACTGTCGTAGGCCATCTGGGCTGTTAACCTAAGACACCTGAGGCTGGGTGCTTATCAGCAACAGCCACGTGTGGCTTAGCGTTCTGGAGGCCGGGAGTTCAAGTTCAGGGCACTGGCATATTCCGTGTCTGGTTTGCAGACCGCTGTAAACCAGTTTAACTGTGCATCTGGGTTGTGTGTTTTTGTTTGTTTGTTTGTTTGCTGTGTCCTCGCATGGTGAAAGGGGCAAGGGAGCTCTCTGGAGTCTCTTAGGAGGGCACTGATTCTATTCCTGAGCGCTCCAACCTCAAGACTTAATCACTCTCCTCCCTCACCCCCAACCCCCGGCCCCGCCTGCAAATGCACATGGAGCATCAGCTTTCAGCCTGTACATTTTGAGGAGATACATTCAGTCCGTGACAGAACGGTAATGCAAGTTCCCAAGTCATAGATACTGCTGGAGATGATGAGCCAGGGCTGGCGTACAGAGGAGTGGGGAGGGTTAAGACCTTTTATAATCTGACCCTCCCCCCTCCTCCCACTGAACCTCTCCAGGCTTCCTCTTGTTCCTTCTCATTTGTACCCTTCATTGATCACACAGGGACCTCTGGCTCTCTAGCCCCTTTGCCTTGGTTCCTGCTGTTTCATCTGCTCACCACCCTCCCGTACCCATCTTCCAAGTTAATATCAAATGTCCTGTGCCCTGAGCAGGTACAGCCCCTCCTCTGTATTCTGCTCACTTACTCGGACTCATTCTGCTCGGCAGAGGCTGAGGCCCAGGGTGCCCCTGACTCCTCTCTGGACACCCCGTGCCAGGCCTGCAGTGTCGGTGACCCACGAATGTTTGCTGGAATCAGGGCAGGGGGGGGCCCCCAGAGCAAACCTCTTACTGTGCAGTTTGGCTGGGAGACTTGGACAGTTCCCAGTCCGCACTCCAGTCGATGCCAGGGCAGCCAGACCTTCCCTCGCAGACGGCCTGCCTCGAGGGATGCCAGCCGGAGGCAGGCCCTGTCTGGGCCGTTCACCTGGAGTCCCCCGTGGCTAGAGCCGCACCTGGCCTCTGGCAGTGCCAGTGGACTCGCTGGGGGTTGGGGGGGAGTGGTCATGTGTCGGCACACACTGTTGGGGCTCGTGGGACCCCGTAGTGAAGGGTACGGCCAGGCTCTGGGGAGCTGCACCCACTGGGCACGCGGGTGGCAAACAAGTGGGCCTCCCTCATAACGAGGGGTTTGTGCAGGTTGTCAGTGTGGGACAGCAGGCAGGGGTGACACCAGCTGACAGGAAGGCAGGAAGCTGGTCTGGCACCTCCCGGGGCTGAAAGGCCCTGTGGCCTGGGGGAGGCTGTCCAAGGGAGGGCTTCAGCCGAGGGGTCGGGGGACGTGCTCTGCGTTACGGGGGCCCAAGGCTTCTGGGGGGGGAGGGCGGGATGGAGGAGTTTGGGGAGGGCAGGGAGGCCTCACTCGCACAGGTAGCTGGACCCCGGTGGCCTCGGAGGAAGTGGTAAGGGGGACATGGGAACAGGACCCGGATCCACACCACCATTTCCCAAGGCCTCTGGTGGTGGGGGCCCCCTGTCCTCAAGGCCTCAGCTCTGCCCCCTCAGCCTGTCCCCGCCCCCAGACCTGGCTCCGCCTCCAGGCCCAGGACCCCCCCCTCAGGGGTACAGGTGCCTCATCAATACTGAGCACTCCCTGAGGGCCGAGCCCTGCAGGAGGGCTTCCTCTGGTCTTCTTGGAGCCACACCACCCGATGGGGGCCGGACCCATTTTACAGATGGGGTGTCTGAGGCTCAGAGGGGCCGGGACCTGCTTGTGACCACATGTCTGGCCCGAGGGGGAGCCAGACCAGAGGCCCAGGAACATGAAAACTGCCCCCTGGCAGTGAGAGGGCTGGTGAGAGACACCCCTCCGAGGGGGAAGGGGTGCTGGGGCCTGCTCTAGGGAGGAAGGGAAAGGGTGCTCCAGGTGCATAGCGAGGACCAGGGTGGCAGAGGCCGGGGAGGGAGCAGAGCGATGGCTGAATGCGGCGTGGTGTGAGCGGAGGCTGGGTGTCCGGACCTGCTACCAGGGCCAGGACCTCCTTCAGTCCGTGAGTGAGCATTGTGGCCGTGCGTGTGCACACTGCTACAGGTTAGTGTTGCCGAGGTGTGCGCCGCCCCATACGGCCGCTCACCCTGCGTGCAGCCCCCTGCGGGTGGTGTCCGGGCTCGGGGCAGCAGGCCATGTGGGTGCCGGTCGGCCCGTCCTCTAACCTGTGCCTCTCCCCCAGGGCTGCTGCGGGAGGAGGTGTCCCGGCTGCAGGAGGAGGTGCACCTGCTCCGGCAGATGAAGGAGATGCTGACCAAGGACCTGGAGGAGTCGCAGGGAGGCAAGTCGGCCGAGGTGCTGTCGGCCACGGAGCTCAGGGTGCAGCTGGCCCAGAAGGAGCAGGAGCTGGCCAGAGCCAAAGAGGCCCTGCAGGGTGAGTGACCGGGCAGCGTGGCCCCGCCTTCCCGCGCCTGGGGCTGGGGCGCAGGCCACAGCGGCTCTGGGGAACCGGGGTCCAGCCTCTGCGGGGTGCGTGACGTGGAATCGGGGTCCCCATGCTCAGACCCCCCAGCTGCCCTGTGCCTGTTGGGGTGGAAAGCTGCCTCTCACAGGACTGGGCACATAGGTCATCCCTTCCTCCCGCTGTGCCCGCCACTGTGCCCGTCCTGGCCGGTCGTGTATGGCAGGGGGGTGGGCATCTTCGCCAACCCAGGTGCTGACCTGGCAGTGGTTCCTCTCTTTGCCAGCACCTCCCCTCCCTGGACGGAGCACCTGTGGGCTGCGTTCTCTGCTGGAGGCCAGCCGGTCCCTGCCCTGAACTCGCCGCGGTGGCCCTCCCGGGCGGGGCTCCGAGCGGGGCAGCCTCCAGCCCCGGGGCAGGTGCAGGAGTTGGGAGAGACATGGCGTCAGTGCCCAGGGGGTCTCTTGCCAGGAGGGACCCTGCCCCGTAGCCAGCAGCTGCCGTAGGAAACGAGGAGGCCAGTGGGCCACGTGGTCAGCCTGCTCTCCCTGGAGCTGCTGGGGATGCAGCAGCCACGTGCCCGTCTCTCCGGGGCCCCTGCCGCCCTCCGCGGTGGGGAGGGCGCTCAAGGTGCTTGAGAAAGGGGAAGCCCGCCCAGACTGGGCTCCACTGGGGGGGAGAGGGGCGTGGGGAGCGGGGTCTGCCTGATCCTCTGGTGCTCCCCAGGTGTCTCCCTCTCCCCTGGGGGAAGACAAGGCAGCCTGCTCTCCACTTCCCAGTTACTAGAACCATAAATACTCTGCGAGGACTTTATTTTTGAAGCCAAAGCAGGTTAATTACTTAGATTGACTTCGGGCTGCTGTAGCAGAAACCCCAAAAGAGGGACTCCGCGCACCTATTTGTCTCTCCTCCGAACCCCGGAGGAGCCGTTCGGGTGGCGGGCGTCTCAGCTCCCCAGCCTGGGAGGGACCCAGAGGAGCCAGAACTGAGGGCAGAGGCCCCTTCCGGCAGCACTGGCAGTGAGGTGGGCTGCAGGGACAGCTGGGCCATGTCACTTCCTACCGGACGGCCCCATCCAGGCCACACGGCTAACGGGCAGAGGGGCGGGAGCGGGGAGTGGGTTTTGCTGGGCAGTTAGTGGGCTCTGTCATTGTGGGTCTCCCTGACCAGAGGGGAGCGGTGATCAGCAAGCACCCGCACACGGGCCAAGCTGGCTGTGCGTCCAGCACCCACCGACCGTTCCCCGGGGCCGTCTGGGAAAATGTCCTTACCCAGACGTTTCGGCACCAAATGTGTGCGCTCTTCCAGCAAAACAAACGGCTCTGACAGGCAGGGACCCCCTTTTCTGCTGGGGCTGAGTTCCCATGGGGTCACTGAGACAGCGTCTGGGTGGTCTCCTCGGGCCAGGGTGGGCAGGTGGCCTGTGTCACGGTCCAGCTGGCGCTGCATGGCCGGGAAGTCCGGTGCCAAGCATGCATGCTCTCTGTGGGCGACCTTCCAGCATCAGGCCGATCTGCACGAGCCTCGCTCCCTCCCTCCCTCCGTCCCTCCCAGCTTCCCACTCCCCTGCCGGGGACTGGCCCAGTCCCAGCGACACCCCCAGGAGGTGCCTCGGGCCCCTGGGGTGGGAGCTGAGGTGTGGAAAACCGGAGGAGAGTCAGGACTGGCTCAGGAAGCACCATCTCAACCACCTTTGCCAAGTATTTATCGCCAGGACCATAAACCCGCCCTCCCTGTCCTGGGCCCTGGAAGGCGTTCTCCCCGTGTCCGCCCTCAGGGCCTGTGGGGGATGAAAAAACCTCTCAGCCGTCCCGGAGTCCCCACCCCCAGCTCCGGGGACAGACAGCTGCCCTCTGCAAACTTGGGACAGTGGCCGTGAGCGAAAGGACTTGATGTCTATGGAGGTGTCGGTGCCGCGCTTGCTCCTGCCGTGAGAGCTGTCTGGTAGCGGCCGGGCAGGCCTCTCTTCCTAACTCTGTGCGTGGATTTCTTACCCGCCACCAACGGTCTCCCCAGCGAGGACTTGTCAGGGGTCACTGAGGGAACGTGCTATCAAGCGCCTACTGTGCGCCAGCACTGTTCTCAGCGCCTGATCTACCACTCACCTCAGTCCTGCTAGGAGGTGGGACCCCCCTCTTACAGATGGAGACACCCAGATGAGGCTCAGGGAGGTTAAGTAATTGGTCAAGGTATGCAGGGCTTTTCCGGAAACTTCTTCCACTACACCCCACATCGAGTCTTCTGTATGGGGGGGACGTCAGCCTGGACAGGAGAGATGGGGACACGGGGACAGGAGGCCCTGGATCAGATCTGGGCTTGCATCCCGCCCAGCGCCTCCGCTTGCTGGCTCTGTGACCTTGGGCAGGTTCCTTGACCTCTCTGAACCACAGTCCCCTGACTGAGGGTAACGGGAACAATACCCCAAACCGGCCTTTCTTGTTATTGGGGCGAATACAAGCAGCTCTTCCAGAGGGTCGTTGTGGGGATTAAGTGAGATATCAAGTGGTTGGCCCAGAGCCCAGAGCCCATTAGTGCAAAGACGCAGTGATTATCACACGTGAGGGGGCTCGGCAGCCCTCCTGGGATCTGCGCGGAGACACGGGCTCCCCGGTCCCACCAGGGGCAGCCCGGACCTCGGAGGCCTCGTGCCCGGCGGAGCCCAGGGCGCGCCGTATTCCTGGAAAGCCTCCCGTGGGCGCCGTCAGCCGTTTGAGCATCCCGCCTGGCGTTCCGCACGGCCTGAAATAGGAAGCTGCCTCCCAGCCACAGCACGTGGTGGGTGAATTGCGGACAGATGTGGGCAGGAGGAGGCAGGGCATGGAGAGGGATTTACATGCCCGTAATGAGGAGAGCGAGCATGAATGTGCCAGCCGAGTCCGCGGCAGATGTTGGCGACACGCGTTCACAGCCAGCCGGTGTCTCCGTGGCGGGAGCACGCAGAGCCCCCCAGGGTGCCTTGCAGGTCCCACTGGCTGTCCCCCCTCAGTCTTCGGTGTGGGGGTGATGAGAGCGGAATTTTCCAGCACATCAGGATTAGGAACTCAGACACCCAAATGTCAGCCCGTGTTCCCAAAAAATCAAAGCCACAGAACGAGTCTAGTTTGGGGAGAACGGTACTTAGAAGGTTCCTTTGTTTCTGTGGGGATGAGGCTGGGAATGTTTGGTTTAGCATTTTGATCTCCCTGTGAGTTTTACAGGCAGAAGCAGTGAGTGATGGTCTAGGAAAAAAGGGTGTGTGTGTGTGTGTGTGTGTGTGTGTATACATATGTACATAACCAAATCCCTGCATGACCCCAGCTTTACACATGTGAAGCTCTGGGCCCCCTTGGGGTATTTGTCGATTTCCCCATTTCCCCCTCCATCGCTGATTTCTCCAATAATCAAGGCACTATAGAAACAATGACCATGAAAATTTGCTTTTCCCTTTAATTTTCATTACTATTTTTGTTGTTGGTAAGCCTCACCAGAGGATATTTTCCATTGATTTTTAGAGAGAGAGGAAGGGAGAGGGAGGAGGAAGAGAGAGAGCGAGAGAAACCTTTATGTGAGAGAGAGACATCGATGGGTTGCCTTCTGTATGCGCCCCCCCCCCCCCCCAGGGCTAGGGATCGAGCCTGCCACCGAGATACATGCCCTTGACTGGAATCAAACCTGGGACCCTTCGGTATGTGGGCTAACGCTCTGTTCACTGAGCAAACCCACTAGGGTGCATCTTCCCTTTTTTAATCACTTAATGGCGTGTTGAATGTGTTGAGCATTTCCCCACAACAATAAATACTCCTGGAAAACATAATTTTTAATGGTTACATAATGTTCTACCAAATGGAGGCACCATTATTTATTTAGCCACTTCCCTATGACTGTACATTTAAGTCATTTCCCCTTTTTTCTTTTCGTGTTTGCCGTTATATAACATGAAGCCAGCAGTCGGCAAACTGCGGCTCGCGAGCCACAAGTGTTGACTAATGAGTTTGCGGACCACTGCACTAGGCTAAAGATCTGTGTTGTATAGGTCTGTTTATTTTCCCGTACTTTCTGCTTTCTGGACTGTGTTATGATCTTACACCACTGAGGACCCCAAAGAGCTTTTGTTGATAGGGTTGAGATCTATCCTTATTTCCTATTTTAGAAACTAAAACTGAAAACATATCTACACAGACAATAGTACGGTGGCTGCCAGAGGACAGAGAGGGTGGGTGGGAAAGAGGGATAAAGAGTGAGGCAAGGAAGCTTGACTTGAGGTGGTGAACTCCCAGTACAAGATGTAGGTCACAGATTCTCAACCTTTCTAATTCCGCAGGTCTCGGGCAATCCTGCTGGCGGTTTTCAGCCTGTTGCGACCTCCAGGTTGAGAACCGCTGCTGTAGAGCCTACGACCATCTGAAAACACAGATATTTACATTACAATTCATAACAGTAGCAACATTACAGCTATGAAGTAACAACGAGAATAATCTTATGGTTGGGGGTCACCACAACACGAGGAGCTGTATTAAAGAGTCGCGGCATTAGGAAGGCTGAGAATCACTGCTGTAGATGATGCATTATAGAATTCTATACCTGAAACGTCCATAGTTTTACTAACCAATGTCCCCAACAAATTCAACTTTAAAATAGAGAAAGCATGTTTGAACCTTCAGTAATTTATTGTCAAATGATAATAAGCCCATCACATGTTAACATACATAGCAATTATTTATTTTTATGAAAAATGACGATTCCCCCCCAACCAATCGATTTCACTGAGAAAGGCAGCATTGTTTTATATTTTTACAGAAATGTAAATTTTTTACAAAACTTTTTGACCTCTGACTTCGTGGCAGACTGCCGAATGCTGCTCCTGTCTGTCGCTTCCGTCGGGTAACGGTGACTAGTTGCCTTGGTTGGGAATCTGGCCTCACACACACACAGGTGGGAAAGGGAACATGCCAGTCGCCTTCTTAGGGAATCGTGGGTATTGTTCTTCGGTGCCA